TCTCCACATGGTAAGCGCACACTGTGCCCGAGTAAAAGGGGTGTTGTACTCCCAAACTCCCAGCCCCCAATCCTTCTCAGAAGAGGCAACTACTCTCTGTTGTGAGTGAGCCCCCAAGCCAGTCCACGCATACGTAAGTGTCCCTTCTCTGTGTGCAAACAAACGTGTACGTGTACACTATTTTCTTTTTTTCACTTAATATGGTTTGGCGATCATATGATAGCAACACCTCATTTTTTTTTTTAATTGGAGAGTGCTGAGCTGCATAGCTACGCCCTTTGCCAATTTTTCTGTTGCATTGTTGGTCTTGTTGATTTGCAGGAGCTCTTGATATATTAAGCAGTTGAGTCTTTAGCTTGTCACGAGACAGATTTCTCATGAAGGCAATGAAATTTACATTTCAGAGACTCTCACTCGTTCAAACCGTCACAAGACCCTTGAAAGGAGGCTGGCAATGAGTTCACACGACTCATGTTATTTCAACTACAGTCATTTAAGATGACTGTATTTTTCTGGCGAGCCTTCCCCTCAAGCTGGTGTCAGACAGGCCGTGGGCATTTCTGAGATGTAGCTAAGAGGCAGTTCAGTTAGCATTCATTATATTTCGTCTGGATTTTGCAGGATACATTAAGTGGTTTTCTGTCACTGCTGAGTATAAATCGTCACTCGCCATCATGTATAGGATGCTTCCTGTAATGCTTCTGCTGCCATTTACACTGAATTATCTCATGACCCTGGGAGGCCAAAGATTATATCATGGGATGAACACCTCTTCTCGTATTTGGCCCTGGAAGCATTTGAGTTGTGGGTGAGAAAAGAGGTTTGCAATGTGTGGGGACGGGGACAAAAGCTGATCCGTGGACAGTTCCTCAGCCCTCCAATGTCCAGTCCTAGTACAGATGCTGTGTTCACCAACGCAGGCCCAACTGGGAAGCTCTCTTGACTAGATGTCCTCAGACATCCAGCAAAAATGACCCACCACAGACTTAATTTTCCTTGTTTTTTTTTAGCTGAGCCCCTGCCACTTCTTGGCAGCTCAGTGGCAGCTCAGCTCGGGCCGGGAATCGAACCAGCGACCCTGTTGCTCAGAGTTCACACCCTTGAGCGAGCTCTTAACCAACTGAGCCACTCAGCCAACCCTTAATTTTCATTTTTGATGGTGATCAAATCAAATAGCGTTTATCAGAATGCGATGGCTTTGTCAGACACACCATGGAACAGTAGTTCAAACAGCAAGTCTATTTGTTACAATTTTACATGAAATAAATGTGTTAAGGAAAACTTCTAAACTACCAATAGTAACTTTAAAACCCCAAATTTGGTCAGTCATGCTAAGGGAAAGAATTTTTCTTTCTAATCTGTCAAAAGTGAATAATGTACAAAATCATTGTAACGTGGAGAGGTAGTCAAAGATTATGCAGCCAAAAAAGTGTAAAAAAAAAAAAAGTATTATTGAGGTGTGCTGGGCAGTTCATTAAAAAAATAGAATGCTATTTTTCTGGACTTTGTGATACTTGTGGGTCCGGAATTTGTTGTGATTTATTTTCTAATTCTTTATAAATAATCCTATTTGCACCATTTTGTATTGGTGGGTTTTCTTTTTCTTAAACAGGGCTCCCCAGATTGGATCAGCTCCCGCAAGACCTGGCCCCACACCTGAGCCTGGGCTTGCAAGTATTGTATCCCGGTGTGTAACTCTGGGAGTTTATTTACAGCATTTTTTTGCTGTGCAGAAGTTTTAAATTTCCATGTCTTCTAATTTAATCAGCCTCTCCTTTCCTCGTCTCTGGTTCTCCTGTCTTGCTCAGAAGGTCCTTCATGGTATTCTAGGGGGTCTAATTTTTCCTTTCTGTGTTTGTAAATACGTGATTCATCTGGACTTGATTTTTGTATGAGTATTTAAAAAATTATCCAGGTTTCTGAATATCCTTTGTTGAATAGTGACTCTCTTCTTACAGGTTAGAAGTGCCACTTTCTCACATATGAAGTTCTCACATGTATCAGCCTATCCATGTCAGTTCTGTGGATCTATACGTTCACACAGCAAGACCAAAAGGTTCTATTTAAGTTTATGACACATTTGAATGTCTTAGGAGGCTAGTATCTTTTTCTTACTCGTTTTTTAACCCTAAAAAACGCTCAGTATAAACTTTTGTGCTAAAGTTTAGAATCAGCACCCATAGGTCTAAAATACCCTGCTTTTACATTTATTGTAATCACATTAAATATTAGGGTCGTTTTAGGGAGACTTTTATAAAATTTAAACATCCCATCCAAGTATAGGGCATGCTTTTCTCTTTATTCAAGTTTCCTTTTCTGTTCCTCAGTTTTTTTTTCATGTGAATCTTACACATTTCTGGTTCGAGTCATCTGTAGGGATGTTTTTCTTTCCGTACACTGTTATACACAGGATTTTTCCCTTTCCATTATATTTCCTGACTGGTTGTTCTGCCTGTATAGGAAAGCTATTGATTTTTGCATATTATTACATGCAAATAATATGCAAGTTAGTTTTCCTGGGAACAAAACAAATGTACTATTCTAGTCTGTTCCAGAATATATGTAGAATTCTCTTTATTCTATTCCACTTGTAGCACTTTTTTCTTTTTTTAAGATTTTTATTGGGGAATTGGGGGGGAGAACAGTGTTGGGGATTTAGAGAAGGGGAACATTGTGTTTTTCCAGGACCCATCAGCTCCAAGTCAAGTTGTTGTCCTTCAGTCTTAGTTGTGGAGGACACAGCTCAGCTCCAAGTCCACTCGCCGTTTTCAATCTAATTGGGGGGCGGGAGCGGCGGGGACGCAGTTCACCATCCCATTCAGGTGTCGAACCGGCAACCTTGCTGCTAAGAGTATGAGCTCTCACCAGCCTTGTGGCAGCTCAGCTTGGGTGCAGCTCACTGGCCCATGTGGGAATCGAACCGGCAACCCTGTTGCTCACAGCTCGCGCTCTTAACCAACTGAGCCACTCTGCCGGCCCTGCACTTGTAGCACTTCCATGGCCCAGTTGGGCTTTCCCGTGACCACCATATCCTGTCCAGATGCTGCCTGCTTTTCAGACCTCCCGACTCGCCCACCCCGGGGACAGGGCAGTGTGTGCGTTTGTCATAGTGCTGAGCCTGCAGCGAACCCCAAGCCTCCGAAAGCCCCCTGAGAAGGCTCAGGCGAGCACACTTGGCTGCTGGCCTTGGAACTGGCCTCACAGAGCTGGCTGGGCCTTGTGGGGGCCAGAGGCCTGCGGGCTCTGAGGCTCAGTGTCTGCACAGCCCTCTGAGGCGCTGAGAGCCCTGCTGGACTGCCGCTTTCATGCTGAGCCCTCCGAACCGCGAAGCAAGTGGAATGATGGGCATTATCTCCGTCCGCATGGGAGCTGCCCGGTTGTGCCTGTCTCCACACGGACCACTGGAAAACTGAATGCGCCTTTGCACCTGGCGCTGTCTGACATCTGGCAATCACCCCGTGCATAGGTGTTTATGGGAACCTCCAAGAGCCTGGTGGGCCAGGGAGCAGCAGAGCCTTGTGTGGTCTGTTTCTGGTCCGACCCAGGGCGAGCCAGCGGGGGACCTCTAACAAGCACCCAAGGGGTTACCGTCTTTGATTTCTTCCAGGAAGCGGGGCTCAGCCCAGCAGCACATTTTCAGAGCTGGGTAACTCCTTCCCGCTGTGTGGGCCACTTCCTCGGTCTTCCTAGAGGCAGATGGATGGCTTCCCGTGCACCGTCAGTTACCTCAGAGCAGGCCTGAGACATTCTCTGCTTCCTTACCTGGTCCACTGTCTTGTGCACAAAAGTCACCGAGTTTTGGAAATTCCAACATGGCACCCAGGGGAGGAAGCCCTGCCTTCCTTTCTGGTTGGACAGCGTGCGTCTCATGGGGCCGCGTCCTCTCCTGACCTCAGCTTGCCCCGTGAATGACCTTTGAAAAGAGTGGGTCCTTTCTAAGGGAGGACAGTTTTATCTTCAGCCAACTCGTTTGTCTCCCAAGCAGCCCATTAAGTGGGTGTCACCTTAGAAACAGGTGTGACACTTTTTTAGATGAGGGAATGGACTGACGGCCACACCGAGTCAGGGGTTAGTGTGACTCCCAAACCTTGTGCTGTTCTCACGGCCTTTTCTCCTTTTTTTTTTTTAGGCAAGTTTCACAGAACAAAATTCACCATTTTAAAGGAACAGTTCCACGGCATTGTGTACCCCTTTATTTAGTTTCAAAACATGTACATCACCCCGAAAGGAGACCCTGGCTGTATCAGCGGTCACTTCCCACCCCCCTCCTCCTGTGACTGGCCAACTACAGCCCTAATGTACCTTCTGTCTGTGGATCTGTCTGCTCTGGACATTTCACGACTGGCGTCCGTCAGTCAGCATCATGTCTTCAGGGTTCCTTGGCGTTAGGGCCAGTGTCAGGGCTCCGTTCCTTTTCGTGGCTGAGTAGCATTCCTCGCACGGTGGGCCCCTGTGTCGATGGTGCATTTCACTATGGACCCCGGGGTGGTGTCCGCCCGTGGGCACGGTCACTGGTGCTGCTGTGCACACAGCTGTGTGTGTTTTTGGAGGGCCGTTCTCTCCGCAGTCTTGTGCCAGCTCCTCTTCCCCTGGTCCTGGCTCCGTTATGGGGACTGATGGCTCTGTCGGCAGAATGAGAAGAGGAAGGTGGGCTGGTGGGCTGCCCACCCCTGACCTCAGCACAGAGCTCTGTAGCTGATAAAAGTGTGCAGGCTCCCGAGGCAGGGCTGAGAGGAGCCCCCTCCCCCGCGGCTTCATTGGAGGCTCCCCCGGCAGCAGCGGTCTGAGCAGGAAAACCTTTGCTCCACCGCGTTCACCCCCACGCCTCAGGAAGGAGCTGCCCGCTGGGCACTGAGATCTAGACCACTGTGGTCCCCAACGCGTGCACACTCTCCGTCCCCGCGTGTCGCTGTGCAGCGGTCAGTAGGAGGCGGTGTGCAGGCCCCACACCAGCGTCCCCCGTGGAGGGATTGTTAGCATCTTCCCATGATGAGATAGACGTTCCTGCTGGGGAAGAGAGGATCCGTGTGTGTGAGGTGCAGGCCTGGATTCCTAGCGCTTTGCCCGCCACCCCCACCCGCGTTGCCAGGTGCCAGCGGGTCTGTGCAACAGCCTGAACTTCGGGCGGCGGGGAGGACGCCACGTTTTACCTCCTTCTCCTTCTGGAAGCTCGGGCAACCAGGGCGCCCGGCCAGAGGTAAAGACCCCCCAGCTGGCGTCCCGGCACCATCGCGTCGTTCCTGGCAGCGCTGGGGGTGGTGGTAGGGGGGCACGGGCGAGCCGAGGGCGGGTTTTACCGCCGCGGCTGCCCACGGGCTGCGGGGCACAGGAGGCCCCAGGCCGCCGTGAGCGGAGATGGGGCGCGCTGCTCCACGGAGGGAGCCCGCCCCGCGAGCCCCGCCTGGCTGAGGCTGGTCCGTCTCCATTTCTGCCCCAGCTTTAGACCACAGCGAAAAGAAGCCGGCAGTGAGGGGAAAGCCATCTTTGTGTGTGTGTGTGTGTGTGTGTGTGTGTGTGTGTGTGTGTGTGTGTGTGTGTATGCGTG